CCAGTGGACGAACCACTACTGTACCCCGCTAGAGCGACCTCGCACTCGAACCACTACTGTACCCCGCTAGAGCGACCTCGCACTCTGGCTGCGTCACCCTCTGTAACGACCGCTGACGTTGACGGGAGTCAATGGAAGACTAGAACCAGGGTTAGGGTCATGGCTGTAGGGCACGAGTGAAGGGGACGGGTACAAGGTACAGTGGAAGGGGACTGGTGAGAAGCAGAAGGTGAGGTAGGAGTGAGGGCCCAGTAGCAGACGGTGGTGGTGGAGGGCGAGGTGTGAGGAGATGGCCTCGGGGTCTCGACACTTAAGGGTTGACCAATACCACCTTGCTGACCCCTACTATCCTCCCTTACCCGTCGTGCCATCTGCCCTCCCCGTAATGCACAGCCTGACGGTGCCGGATGCTTCACACCACGGCCAGACGATATAGCACGGGCAGCTACAGGGGCGATGAAACGGTGGGGTAATGGCCGTCACCCTCAGACTGGCACGTGGGACCACTAAGTAATAAAATCATGGCGAGACTTACCTGGCTCACCACTCACCACCCCGCCCCGCCCCGCGGTAACCCGCCTTGTCTGCCCCGCCCGTAACCTGCCTTGCTCGCCCCGCCTTTAACCTGCCTTCCCTGCTCCTCCGTAACTCGCTTTGTGTGTCCCGTTGTAACCTACCTTGTCTACCCACCTGTAACTTGCTTTTCCTGCCCCGCCGAACCTGTCTTTCCTATCACGCTATAACCTACCTTGCCTGCAAAGCGGCCCAGACCGTAAACTATCCAACCTTCCTTGCTATCTCGCCAGAAACCTGCCCTGCCCACCTCGCTGCCCCACCCATAAACTGCCCTGCCCACCTCGCTGTCCCACCCATAAACTGCCCTGCAGGTTTCTAGCTAGCATGTGCAGGACGTCATGTGTTGATAGCGGGCGGTACACGGGCCTGCACCAGTTGCAATAGAGCAGTAAACCACCACACACGTTGGCTGGCCGCTGCTCCAGCCCAAATTACGGTATTAAACCATTAAACAAATCCCCGTTTTAATGTCACTGTGGGTCGTTACCGTGTGATAAACCCCTGTTCCTCTTGCCTATTCGGATATTTTTAAATAAAAACTAAATCTACTCTGATTTTACCAGCCTGGCAACGTTAATGTGATACTAGACATATATTTAATGATGCTAAAAACAGCCAAACCTGTCCGAGCTACACAACTAAGTTCCCCCTAATCCTCCTCTGCCTTTTTCATACACCCATCTTGCTCCTCCTGTTTATACCTCCCTCATCTTCACTCTCGCCCCCACCCTTTCCTGTGACCATCCCCTCCAGCTTACCTTGATATTAACTAATTAACAATAGAGCGTCATTGCTTGACGCACGTTACTCCTGCCCCTGACATAACTACCCTAATGCCTCAGCTAGTTAGCACAGCTTGTCAACAAGGGCGATAATAAGTAAATGGCGTAACTTAATGCGCTAGAGTCAGGCTCAAAGGTACATGCATGGAGATATGGCCCTCTAGCATGATAAGGCTTGGGCCCTGTGTGTGTGTGTGAAAATTATACACATAAATCCTTCTTGCCCGGCAGCACAGTACAGATTATTGCAAATTAAATACACAGTCATTCAGAACCTTTTCCCACTACTAATATTTATATGGAGACTAAATCCTTATTTTTAAGTCTAGCTTACATATGAAAGCTCAATGTTGAATAGATAATTAATAATTATAATTATTTATAAATCCAGTGAAATGAAGTAAACACAATAGAAATTATTAAAACTAAACATTAGAGACTGAGATTATATATGGTGATCCTTCATTCTGTATTTAAAATGTGTAGAGTGAGAGGAAATACAACCGACTCAAGAGAGCCTCAACACTGCCACATGAACTATCCTCCCCTGCAGAAGAGGTCCCTCCCGTTAAGAATAATCCGTTTTCTTTAGCATTAGTCAATCCCCTTGAAGAGGGGTTCTTGCCCTTCAAAAGTTCTATCGTCCCTCTGAGAGTGGTCCTGCCCCATCAGGAGAGGTCCCTCTCCTCAGCAGCAGACCTTTCCCCCCAAGAGTATCCAATCCCTTTCGGAGCTGTTTATCTCCTCTAGGTAAGGTTCCTACTCTTGAGCAGTGGTTCTCCCACCAGAAATGGTTCCTTTCCTTCAGGAGTGATCCCTCCTCTTCAGAAAGGGTCTCTCCCTCTCTAGAAAGGCCCTCCCATGAGTGGCCACTCCCCACCAGGGGTGAGTGGCCCCTCAGCTGACCCTCGGAGGTGGCTCCTCAAGCCAACTGAGAAGAGACACCGCTTTATGTAAACAAAGACAAGCGTTGCGATTACTTACTAAGCTATCAAGCTCTGGGTTTGCCTGATAATATGGCTTCTCTTGTCTAATCTGCAAAAGCAAAATGCGAAGGCTAAGTAGACAAAGGAGATGACCAACTACGAGACCGCCCGTAGAAGGAAAAACATAAACAAGAGAAAAAAAAATATTTTCCGGGCGGCCCCAATATGTACCTTGGGGAGGGGGGGGTCAGTGATGACTGATGAGAGAAGGGAAAAGACATAAATACATGTAAGAAGGAAGACGAGTAACAGAGAGAGTGGAGATATAGGTGAGGAAGACAGACACGACGAACAATTAGTGAAACTCTCAGGATCAGCTGATATAGATGATGATGATGATGATGATGATGATGATGATGATGATGATGATGATGATGATGATGATGAAGTTAATGATGATGATGATAATGATAATGGTGACGGTGGCAATGACGATGATGGTGACGGTGATGATAATGGTGACTTACCATGCTGTCAACTTCAGGATGTGAGTAGTAGTAGGGCTTCTCATGACGAAGCTGCACGGTGAGGGAGAGACACAATAACATCCACTTAAGTCTGGTTCTAGTATCTGAGTTCTAATTATGAGTTTATTTATTTTTTTAAGTCGGGGAGGTGGGGGGTGGGGGCATTTTATCAGGGAAGTTTGTGATGTGGTTGGAGGTGCAATGTTACGAAGTGGTGACGCCAAGTTCTCGCCCAGGATGTGACGGGGAGTACAAGTCAGTGTGGAGAACTAAAAGTCCATAGAACCGAAGAACAGGTCAGTGGAGTGTGGGGAGGGGGAGGGGTATACCTTATAGGTGGAAACAAGCAGTCAAGGATGAAGTCAAACATAAAGTCAAACTGTTAAGAAGGAATACTACAAATATTACGGAGAACTACAAGTCACGGAAAGATTGTGGGTGCCAAGGAGAGGAACTGCGAGTCATGGAGGGAGGGAGTTCAAGTCACTTCGGCACAAGTAAGTGAGAGGAACAAGTAGTCAAACATGAAGGAAGTGGGAACAAAGATGAATCATAGGTCCGGAGGTCAAGAGTCAGTGAGGGCTATTATGAGTCAGCAGAAGGTTCCACTAGTCAGCAGGAGGGTCCATGAGTCAGTAAGAGCTATTGTGAGTCTGCAGCAGAGTCCTCAAGTCAACAGGAGGGTCCACAAATCAGCAGGAAGGTCCATGAGTCAGTGAGAGCTATTATGAATCAGCAGGGGAGTACACAAGTCAGTATGGGGGGACCACGAGACAATAACAGGGACCACTATGTTAGTAAGAGGGACAACGAGTCAATAAGCAGAGTCACCAGGTAAGGACAGGGACTCAGCGAAAGTGTGGACAGTGATCATATAATACAATAGGGACCTTGAAGATGTGTCCGCAGAATGTTGCATTAATATTATCCAAATTAAACTACTAAGGATTGAGGCAAATAAAAGGAGAGAGAATAAAAACAGAAAAATGCCTCATCTCCTACAAACAAACGATGGATAATTTGACTTATATAAAAGAGATTGAATAACACAGCTTGGTGCAGGGAGAGGCGTCGTGCAGGTGAATATGTGTCAGTTAGTTGGTGATGATAGGTGACATAATTACAGTTTAAAATGGTAGTATAAAAAAAATGGTGAATATTGAAAACCAGAGAATGTATTGATGTTAGATAAGTTAATGAATGATCTATATAAGTCATTACCATAGTCACTATATTATGTGATGTATCCCTATGTAGATAATATACATAATTGCAGGTGCCTTATTTTTTAGTGTACGTGACAACATGAATGTGAGCCAAGACATTAGTTATCATACACTAACATCACTTACGGGAAAACTATCTGTTGTGCTTTATTTTTATTATTTTTTTTTAAATAAGGAATTTATATATATATATATATATATATATATATATATATATATATATATATATATATATATATATATATATATATATATATATATATATATATATATATATATATATATATATGTATTTATAGATAATTCTTCTGTTGTGTAAATATAGAGGAAGATTTTTTTTTGTATTCGAAAATTAAGCTCTGTGTATAGCTATAAACTTTAAACCTTATATATAAAAGGTCATAAATCTTCGGTGTACATACACAGAGTTAAACATTCTGTGTACGTGTGTGTGTCGTGTACTGTACAGGGAAGTTGAGTTTTAACACACAAATGATCACAGTTTTTATGTGTACATTAAGTCTGATAATTTAAGCAACTTTGTGTTCATTTTAAAGCAGCAAGTTGAGATGTGATGTCTTACTGAGGGTGTTGTGAAGCTTATCGTTTTGCCTACGGTAAGACTCATCATTAGTGCACGAGGCTAATCTCGTAAACAGGGAGTCTAATCTCAAGTGGAGAACAATTCTAATGTCCTTGTGAGGTGTTTGATGAAGCTGTTTGGTGTGTACATGGAGGCTGCCGATGAGTGTCACTAAAAGATGTGCAACTTGGTGCTGTTTGGTGTACAGGGAAGACTATCACAGCATTATAATTTGTGAGTGTGTTGTAAATAATTCAATTCGCTCATGAGGAGAGAAGATTCAGGCACTGGTGTTAATACATTACTGTACATCTAGTTCATATTAATGTCATAAAAACTGTAATAGAAACAATTATAGGCAGTTGCTGACTTTGTTAATTATTTTACCGGAACTTTAATAAAACATTATGATTATTTATTCTGACAATTTAGTCCTAATGAAGCCTTATAAACAGTATATTAAGGCAATGTATTTTAATATCTCTTTACCCAGACTAATATCTTGTGGCCGTACCTGCTTCCTATTCTAAAGTGCAAAAATGTGAACAATTATGAAATTCAATACCATGGTAATACAATGAAGATGTTGACTACATGATGTGTGATGATGGAGTGGTGGGTCATGTAAACACGAGGGAGATGGTGTGAACTTACAATTATAAAAACCTGAAAGAGAAGATTTACACTTTACACTGAAATACATATTAATATAAACAACTAATGCAAATTTATTTTCCTCCAGTGAATTGTAATGAAAGAGTTTATTTATACAAGAAAGTTACATTTATGATATTCTATTTTGTAAATGATATATATTCATTAAAAATATTTCACCAATATTACTTTATCATCAGGAAGCAAAATTAATGTAGAAGACATTTTTCAAGAGGCAACAAAAGATAATTAAATCACACTGAAGGTTAATGAGCACAAAACCAGGACAAGTGACACAATATACAGTACATGTTAATATATTGAGTGGTCCTACAGTACACCGGCAGCGACAGGGATACTTCACAAATTACACTAATGACACCTAAGAAAGGCAATAGGGTCAATGCTATTATAAAACTCCAAAAATAATCAGGATAAAAAATAAATAAAAAAAACATCAAATTTGGAACACATTGACTCTTTGTTCCCATTTTCTTTGAACTATATTCTCTATCTCACTGAGTGGCTGATTATATTTTTCTGTGTATAAATTTTTCTTTGAGCTTTTTTTTTCTATTAGTTTCAGAAGTTTATTTCAAGTTTTCGTCCCAGGAGATCAAGTATTCCATTGTATCTCACACTTCATGTTCTCCTCTTGTGTAGGACTGTGCTAACACCTGGGTGGTCACAGTAAATCTTGACAAACGAAGCCACGAAGCTGTTATTTGGTTGATAAAACAAAATATTTTCGAGGACTTAACATCATCTTCCCTCTTTAGTATTTCTGGGACTCTTACAATAGCTTCATATTACTTTTTTTTAAACTATAATAAATCATAATGTACAGATACTTCACTTCCTTGCAATATATATGTTGTAATTACCTCATGTAAATAAATATGTACGCATATATATTCTACTAACGTTGAAAAATACACATATAAACAGGTCTACAAACACACACACACAAACACCCACCCAAGAAACAAGCAAAATGAATTATTAAACACATCTTCCCGACATAACTAAAAACAATGGTTGGTTCATGTGAAAACCTTATGTATGTATGTAAGTAATGAGCAACACCACATCATCAGCGGCCTGTATGGAGGCACCGAAGATCCCGGTATATGAGGAGGAGGAGAAAAAGGAACAATATTCGTCGTCACCAACACCCTCCCGCCCTCCACACTAACAAACCTGGGCTGCTGGCGGGAGACACCGACATCACATTATATTCGGCGGCGACCCACCACGAATTCCAAACTTGAGTCGCCTCCAGCGCCGATATGATCAATCGCTTAATTAACGACAACTACACTTGTTTGCTGGTGACAAGGTCGCCTCCACAACCCCGGGCTAACGACCCTCCCTGCCACCGCCACGCCGACCCTCGCTACCTTAGATCTGCCTGATAATGGTACTTACTTGATTTGGTGAAGGGAAGAAATACTTTGGTTCTGTTGGTTTTTGTTTTATTATTTTAATGTAAGTTTAGTGTTAAGGATTATTAGCTTTATACAAGTTGGCTTCACATCTTAAAACAATAAGTTATTAAGTAATTAAGTGTGATACCTTAACACACACACACACTCACACACTATGTCTATAATTATCTTCACCGTTCCGCTATTATTATTACTATTATTGTTATTATTATTATTAGTATATCAATGTTAGTTTATCCTACCATAAAGGAAACAAAAGGTAAGTTGGGACTGGCCAGGACTAGCGAGGTGATACGAGTTAAAAAATTACACACCACCAACGCCACTCATCGGAAAATATGTAAAACTCCTCAACGGGTTTATTATTATTATTTCTAATCAGGATCCTTACACAGAATAACAACAATAGAAATATTACCGAAAGTCTATTATTATTATTACTTAACAATGATGTAGTAGGCCTGGAGCGTGTGTCGACTGTACATCCACTGTGAGACAAACACCTTCTGTTAATCGTCTAGTAGTCCAGCTGCCAACATTAAGAGCACCAACAAAAATTTCCAACATCAAATTGGCTCGCCCGGTATTTAAATAGCCAAAGTTTTACGAGGCTGACGAAAAAGAGTACACTTGAAATCTATTACTATACAACACATTTCACCAAAACTCTA